AGCTGTTGACACATTTATGTCTATGTTTGGCTAACAGCCACAGCAAGATGAGTTAAAAAAAAGATTTGCTGACCTCCATAAGATGAACCTGTCTGCAAAGAGCAATCTCAATAAAAACAGATCGATGAGCTGGACCAGGCTGAGAACAAACTGCCTTTTATCTGTCATCAGTCTGTCAGATGGAGAGGGAGTGAAGACAGAGATCAAAATGGAAGGGGAATGAAGAAATACAGAGGGAAAGACAGGAAACACAAAGATGGAGAGAGAAAGACAAAACAGGAGTGTCAAACAGAAGTAAAATGGAAGGGTGGGGATGGAGGGATTTCCTCTGCAGCAGCTGGGACAAACTGACCTCACTTCCTCTCTCTCTCACTCTCTCTCTCTTTCCTACTAAACTCATCCAACTTCTTCAGCCTCTCTCCCTCTGGGTAGTTATTCATTGAAGTTAGCAACAGAATGTAACAACAGGAGCCTTAGCAGGAAACTTGGTTGTCTGCTGGTAAATTGGTCATTCACTCATACCAGCAGCACAGAATAGAGTATAATGAACACTACATTTTTTAAAGAGTTTAAAATCAGTCCCTGATTAACTTAGTGGTATTTTCACTATTTTATTGAATGTTTGGACTGCATTTGAAGTGTGGCAGATCATTACTCATTGCCATAGGGTGCACTCAAAAATATAAACAAAATATAATCACATGTACACATGTACTATAGAGTATATGACAACTGTCTCACTGTTCACTATTGAGTACCCCTGAATTTTTAGTTATGCAAGCAATGTGGCACTAGGAATGACACTATGAGTGAGTCTGTGGGGGCAGCCAGTTGATTGGATGTTCTGTCCACCAGACTGAAATATCTGAGCATCCACTAGATGGATTGCTTTGAAATTATGGAAATACATCCATGGACTCCAGAGGAGGAACCCTGAAAACTTTGGTGATAACCCTGTGACCCTGTGAAATATCTCAACAATGGAACAACTGGCACAACATTTGATATGAGCATTCATGGTTCCCAGAAGATGTATCCTAATGACTTTTGTAATCCTCTGCCTTTTCCTCCAGTGCCGGCATAAGGTTCATATGTGTGATTTTGAGTATTGGGGGCTATGTTATGACATTTAAATCACACATTAATGCCTCCCCAGGATTGAATTGCAGTAAATATGGCAACTGTTTAACTTGTCATTTTGCATCATCATCGTTGCACATAAAAATCTGCAACAATCAGACCAGTTACACAAAGCATCGTACATAAATTTAACATTCCATGTTATTAGAAAATAGAAGATAAGGACATGTAAGAAAAATATAATAAGGTTTTGTCTGTAAGTGCTGATATTATCTGCACTTAGAGAAGCCACTTAAGGTAGCTTCAGTGGTGACTTATCTTGGCTGTTAATATGTAAATGTGCAGACTGCATACAAGAGTTTTGAGTCATAGAGGTTCCATGGATACCTTGTCTTGTCAGTTATTTCATACTGCACTCATTGCCTCAGACTGGATTATTTGTTTGGATCATATCTGCTTTGCAATCCAGCTTCCTCCCACAGTCTAAAGACATGCAGCTTAGTTTGATTGGTGACTCTAAATTGCCCCCAGGAGTGTGTGGATGTGTGTGATTGTCTGTTTTCAAGTGTCAGCCCTGTGATGGACTAGCGACCTGCCCAGGGTGTACCCCGCCTCTCGCCCAGTGTCAGCTGGGATTGGCTCCAGCCCCCCTTCGATTGTCTTCAGGATAAGCGGTATAGATAATGGACAGAGGGATATCTGCTTTGCAGATTTTCTTCTACTGCATTTATCTAACAACACACATCTTTCCTCCTGAGTTCTGCTTAGCTACTCTTTTCTTTGATTTTTGTCATACATTTGAGGTGCGTTACAACCCCAACATCAGTAACTCTTTGGATTGCAAACAATTTTTAATCCACTCGAGAACCACTGTAGCATGCCATTTAATACTGTGCTGCAAGCAGTGTTTTTAGGGGTGTGACGATACACTTAGCTCACGAGACAAGACAATACACGGTATTAGGTTCACGAGAACAAGGCGAGATGATATTTTATCACTATTTTTAAGAACTCTTCAATTGACGAAATATATGACTGAAAAAACTATCTTTTATTCTACTGAAAGTCACAAAATACAAAACAATGCAGGTGCATTCTGAAATGTTTTAACTAATTATCTTGTAATGAATGGCACTTCAGTTCTACTTTTGGAGTATGAAATATCATATTAATTATCACAAACTCAACTGATTGGCTTCTGTCCTGTATGATTTCACACAAGTCTCTTCAGACCTTATAACTGTGCATGAACTATGCATGAGCTTCTACAGTAACTTCTGATTGAAGCTGTGTGTGGCCTTCTTTCACCCTCACACTCCATCATGCTGGGTGCTGCTCTGGTTCTGTTTTGTACCGATAACACGAGACAGCTTTTCACCTTGATGAAAAATATTGTCATGTTTTAATATCGCGAGATCTCGTCACACCCCCTGCACGGCAGTAACTATTCCACCTACTCCAGCTGGAAATTGAAGCTTTTTCTGCCAGTAACCTCACTGGTCTCTTTAAATAAAAGGAAAATTAATGGTAAAAAAATTTGCATATTATTATTATGTTTACAGGTTTGTGAGCCAGTTCACATTCAGCCAACAATCTCAGCCACCCGCTGACTCATCGAAGGGCTTTATACCTGTTCTCTGAGCCTTGTCTATGTATGTGTCTGTTTGCAAAAGAGGAAGGACGACAGCTGCCAAGCTCACAGTCCCTTGCTAGTTTTGGTGGACAGGTGTGAAGGGGTGGAGTCCAAGAACAACTCCTAGCATCCACCTCTGTCACCGCCACTTACCAGTCCCCTATACACCCGCACATGCTCGCACATATTTCCCATTTACATTTTAGGCTTCTCTATTTATGGAAGAAAAAAAAACAAATGAAGAACAGGGAGTGAAGATTTTGCATCAGTTTCCACAGCCACCTTGGTCAAGTATAAGCTCTGCTGCAGCACTTGCAGGCAAAGGTCAGTGTAGCTTCCATGATGATTTGATTGTGTCCATCATATTGTAAAGGAAACATGCTTTTGTTGACATCAAGATGGGACAGTATATAGGCTATCCCCACTGTAGTGTAGAACTGCAGTAATTAAACTTGCCACCTTTCTACTGCAGAAGCTTTTCCTCTGCTCCTTAATGCGCACAGCTCTACAGTGTTAGTTATATTAATTTCCTAAATAAATTTTAAACCACTGACTCCTCTGATAAAAAATTCTGATTCATAAAAAGATATACTCAGTTTTATAACCCCTTCTCACCCTGTAAATAGAAATTGTTGATGTTTTATAGCATCAGTTCTTAAAGCCTTGCAGCTCTGTGCAATTGAACTGCAAGTTTTTATTTCAAAGAAATATCAAAACATCTGATTAGTTCTTTCTCTCATGTTAAGATTGTGTTAATTAATGACATCAACTGCTCAGTATCTAAAACTGTATGGAAATCTACAAAACTTTGTCTGCAGACGAAAAATACTTGAGAGCTGTGAACATTTTGGTGATGTTGTCTCTGATGGCCTGTTTCCTGAGAGCAAGTGACTGGAGCTGAATTTTGTAGCTTTGTATTTCTACTAGTCTCCGGGTTTTTTCTGAGATCAGTCACATTTTGTATTTGCTATTGGTGTGTGCACTAATTCTGTAACTTATTAATAAATACATTTTCATAATTTTCAGTTATTTCTGCAGTGGATGCTATCAGTGGGAATTGCTAGGTTTTAGTGGTAATGCAAAGTGTTAGCACCTTATTCTCCCTAGTTACAAAGAATTCAGGTTCTTGAGGGACTAGCACTCATATTGTACAACAAATACAGTACATGGACAAGTGGAACTTCCTCTTGTCTCCATGAGTGTAGGCAATGCAAAATGATCCTGCAGGAAGAATAACTTCTGCTTTCAGGCTGAAATAGACCTCAGAACTAATGTAAAATAACAAACTTGGTGCATGATCTCATCAGTTGTTCTTGGCAGTCGGCTAAAGTAAGACTGCTGGTATACAACTGTGGCAGAGTGTGCAATCTTTCTCTTTTAGTTTGGCGTGGGACATTATCTGTACATGACCTTACATGTACAAAAAAACTGCAGTCCCAAAACCTTATGCATAACAACTGTTGTACTGTGTGCAGACTTTAGGATGGATTGTTTTTAAGGGGGGTTGAAAAATCACCTGAAATAGTGTGTGTAAACTCAAAAATCATGGTGTGTTGCTGTTGAACACATAGCTGTTATGGGTGAGAGGCACTGGGACTTTATGAGGAACGCTGAACTGGGAATTCAGGACAAGGATTTATCATGTCAGCAATCATAGATTTACTGTAAGGCGGTTATGATTCAGGTGGAGAAGATGTGACTTAGTCAAGTACACATCGGTATGGCTGATATTTGCAGTATGCATGCTACTGCTCAGACCACTTCTAACTGTAGATAAAATGACTACTCAGCTCAAAGCTAATACATTATACTGCATAAGTGTCCAGTTGGCCCAGGGGTGATGGCTGGTTTTTGTGATGGCGCTCTGTCTTAAAAACTGTTTTGCTGTAAACTCTGGAGCCGCAATAGCATTTTGTCATTTTCTCTGAGTGAAATCTCAACTTCAGTTGTGCCCCCAGACCTTTTAAAACACACAAACAGTAGTTGTTTCTTTAGCTGTTGACCTCAGAGGGCTTTAGCTGGGATAGTTGGCCAATGATCCACAAGGTGTTTCACACCTTCTCAGATTCCCAGAAATCTTTTCACCCATGTCCAACTGACCTGCTTTTGTGTTAGAGCGGGACATACAGCTACATTGAGAAAATATTACCACAATGGAACTTTAATTGCATTGTAACAGAGTGTTTTCTGATCAAAGTATCGAGGTTTCTCCTAATGCCTTTGTATCTTTTTATCAAGTTAAATTGTTTTCAACCTGTTTTTAACACAGCATTGTTGTGTTTTTCAGACTCTTCAGCGTGCCCCAGTTTGCCTAGTAGGACTACCAGTTGTCCTGCCACAGCTCACAGAGATTCTGGCAGCGACATAGAAAGCTTTCTGAACACAGAGGCGGGATATGACTGCATCTTCAGAAAGGTCAGACCCACTCTCTTCATAACGGGTTGTGTAGTAAAGCCCTACCGCCAGCACAGACAAACTAGACTTGTAGGTGTGGTTGTTTGTGGTTTAGATTGTCCTTACTAGCTGAGAAAATGACACAGTCCACTCCTTGAACATGAGTGTTGAGGTGTACCTGAAGAATGAACCTAAATTATAACTCTGCTGGCATGACATCAACCAATTGGCTGTTCAAATCCCTGCAATATATAAAAAAAATGAATGCAAAAATCACAGTTATTATATGTGTATATGTGCTGCTATATAAGTTTGAACCAGCTTGTTACTGCAGAGAGATCAGTAAATGAATGTAAAAATAAGAGAAAATACATTGATTTAGTGGTGTTTTTACTGCTCACATGCAGTGCATTCACACTGAACAGCAAGAATATATTCCATGTTTTCCCCTGCAACCAGACCCATAGGGATTGTATACCATATATGAAGTAGCTATTTTGTCAGTCTGTGCTTGGCTTTTTATTTATCAGCACCCCAAGGCTGAGATGCCAAATATCTACTAAGCATCTTTTTAAGCCAGCAGCTCTACACTGCTGCTGGGGAAGTGCAGGCTGTGGTCCCTGCTGTCACTCTGCTGGTGTTCAAAATCAGTTTGAAGCTAGGTGGCCTTTGGATAAAACTGAAATACTTGTATCTCTTAGTTTCTTCTGTGTTGAGCACTTGAAACATGTTCATGGTAATGTGAACTGTATGTCCATTTTTGTTGTAAACAACAATGGAAAAGGTTGGCACAAAGAATATCAGCTGCCTGGGAGTATACAATATGGTGCTGTGGGTTAGAATGCTGTTGATTCACAGAGATGGGCACAGTGTGTCATGAGTCCACTGGCTTTGTTTCCAAACAAAGACCACAGTAACTAAATTAAGCTTCAGCTAGAGAGGGTTAATGTCTTTACTGCACTCTGTAGTGATAATGTTTCTCATTTGCCAGATGTGATACTGTAAAATTTCTAAAACGTGTCATACCTGTGAGGAAGGTCTAGGGTTCGAATCTCGGTGCCTGCAGTCCACGTGTAGAAGTGTCCTTGGGCAAGAACTGAACCCCCCCAAGTTGCCCGTGATGGCAGCACGTATGCACTCAGCAGCCTGGGGCGCGCAGCTGCAAACAAAATTTCATTGTACATGTCACAATGTTACAATGACAATAAAATAAAACAAAGCTTCTGTATCCTTCTGTCTCTGAAGCTGAAGTCATGTGACTCACATACATACACTGCAGTCACATGCCCTCTGTCCACACACAGACACACACACATTAACTCATGTGTTCTCTCACTTCCAGAGGAAGATCTCTGTAGCATAAAGCCGATCTTTCATTCCCAGCTCTCCAACAGAAGCAGCTCTATGCTCAGTCTGCAGATGGTAGCTCAGTAGACCTAGTTAAATCTCATACCTACAAAGTAGCTCTAAATGGACGATCCCAAACCTATGTGTTCTGTCTCACCATATCCAGACCAAAGACTTTTTATTGGTACTACAGTGGAACCTTGAATTGCGAGTATAATTCGTTCTGGCAACGTGCTCGTTATCCAAAGCACTCGTATATCAAAGCAAATTTCCCCATAAGAAATAATGGGAATGCAGATGATCCATTCCACACCCACTTATCTATATAAAATTGATTACAGTAATACAAAATACAGTATAAAGTAAAAATAAAACAAATTAACCTGCACTCAACCTTTGAAAAGAATCGTGGCATGAGGGGCCATTGTTGCAGTACAGATATTGACTATATGAGTGAAGCGCGAGAACCATCAGCTCAGTTGTGACGTACATCACGTGACGCTCGGCAGACAAAGCGTACGTGCTACTCATATTGCAAGACCTCGCTCGTATATCGAATCTAAATTTTTTGCTTGTCTTGCAAACCACTCGCAAGCCGGTTTCCAGGTTCCACTGTATTTGTTTTCATAGTGTTTTTCATTGCCTAAATTACAAGGTGGTCAGACAGACAAGATAGGCTTTTTTTGGCCTTTTCCATTATACATTTAGCATTTTCTCATTTGTGAAGGTGCATTTTATTTACATATAACTTAACTCACTACAGTCTTTGCTTTAGACAATCCTGCAACAGTGATGATCATGAAAAGACTAACTGTATACACAGTAACTTCATATTTTCCTGGGAAAGGTTACTCTTCACAAGGTTGCCATCTTTTATTGGTGTTTGTTTTAATGTCAACATTGCTATAAAGTGGCTCTGGCTCATTATCCTTAAGTCTTGCCATTTGGTCATCATTATATCCCCATTCCTGAAAATGGCTCCTCCAGCATTCTCTTAATTCTTCTCACATTTCACTGAAGAAATGCTGATGGCTGTACAACGTGGAAGGCTAGGGAGTTAATAGTAATTTGAGATTCAGTTCTCTTTACTTCTGTTCTGTTTTTTGTTTTTTTCATTTTACTCTATTCTGGTATAGTCTATTCTCTTGTTTCATTCTGTTCTATTCTGTTGTGTTCTTATTGATTTTAAGTGTTCCCTTGTTACTGTAGCTAAATGAAAGGTTTAAAAAGTTATTTTCCAGCTTTTCAGGGTTGAAGGCTCCACTTCCTGTGTGGCTCTGTGAGCACTGCAAGTATAACAGTGCCAGCTACAGTTAACTTTCCTTGATTAATTGTGAAATGGAAATGAATACTTAATAAAAAAAACAAGGCTTCTTTTATATACATCTGGCCCCTGAAACAATAAATCCATTTCTTAAGTTTTAGTTCAGTCATTTAAGAATGAACAAAACTATTCTTGTGGCTCATGATAAACTCACATTTAAGTGGGTTTTTTTTCTTTGACATTTCCTTGTAGGCACTAAATGCTGTGCAGTGAGGCTTTTAAGTAAAAATATTATGTATATTTTTTGTATTTCTGCAGAATGATGAACCAGTGACAGGAGGAGACAGTACCAGCGAGGTGTCCATCTCCTGCTCCTCAACCGACGACACCACCAGCATCGACCCATTCAGCTCCAGTCCTGAGGGCATCCAGGGACTGGACCTCAGTTGGGCTGCAGAAGAGGGCCTCCAGACTGGAGCTACTGCCACTGCAGGACTGGATGGTGGTGGTAGTGGAGGAGGAAGAGCAGGAGAAGCTGAAGAAGAGGCCAAAGACAGAGTGACAGAGGTTCCGCAGCGCTATTGTTTCCTCCGGAACAGCATCCGTTCTCTGTCACCTCTTCGCCGCCACAGCTGGGGTCCTGGAAAGAACAACGGAGGAGAAGCAGAGATGAACCAGAGGAGGTGAGTGATAATGATACTAGGTTATATTCCATTTGTTAAGATGAAGAATTCCTAATTACATTGTGGGTAGGTTATAGTGATTATGAGAAAGGAATACTTCTCCTACACATTTTGCTGTTAGTGTGAGTCTGTTGTTAGTCAGTAGATGTCAGTAGGCCTGATGTGTGCAGATGACAGCATTATTAGAGCTCATTGATGTCATTCTGTCTATGTTTCCTCCTACTGCTATGAGTAGCTGTGTTGCTACCAAAATTGTACATAACCAGATGTATACAAACTTGTACCGTGTACAATTTAAGACGTACTACTTCACACTCATGTGGACATACCAACAACATGAATACAAAGCACACCAAGAACAAGACTTTGACACATGATTTGTCCTATGTGCTAAAACAGTGACCATTTATGGACAGGTTTGTAGACTGGTTGCCAGGCAATACAAGGTATGTGCCACAGTGTTGGAGTGAAAACAGATAAACAGCTGCTCTAGGCTTTTATCAGCTCCTATTTTTATGATATTCACATTGGGCACAGATAGCCATTACTACCAAGATTTCATCAATCGTCCTTCTATACAGCATAATAACATAGAGTATGATTATTTTTTGGCTGGAGGTTCTCTTTATAAATAAACATAAGGTACCTGGAGCACATGAGAAGCATGCAAAGGAATTTGAGGTTCCTCCTGCTGCTAAATATGCACACTCAATAAAGCTTAAGGCTTGTAGTGTACTTTTTTAAATATGTAAATTGTTATGAAAATGAATGCAGTAAGACTGAATTAGTTAGACACATCCTGCCAGATCTGACCCCCTGCTGCAGTTTCACCAGATTTTAAAAGAATATTTCAACATTTTTGGGAAACAAGTTTGTTGCTTGCTGGGAGTTACAAGAACATTGAGACTGTATGGTAAGTATGAAGCCAGGAGCCAATTATCTTAGCTTAGCATAAAGCCTGGAAATGGGGGAAACGGGTAGCTTGGTTCTGCTATGTTAAGGATAATACAACACAGCTACCAGCAGCTCCTCAGCTAACTAATTAAAAAGCATCATCTTATTTGTTAAATCCATATAAAACATTTAAAAATGAGTGTTTTTAGGGAGGGCTTATGCATGGGACTGTCTTGGGTAAGGAGGGTAGGGCAACCAGTGGAGACTAAGTTACTGCTCCAGGGTAAGAAATATTTTGGTGCATAACCTCCATGTAAGAAAAACTGAGTGACATTTAGATGTGCTCACTGGATTTTGTTGAGAGCCATGTTAGCTGTTTTCCGGAGACTCCATTCTTTACGCTCAAGCTTAATATTTACCACTCAGATGCAGTATGAGAGTGATGTCAGTATTTTTGACTAAATCCTGTCAAGAAAGTGATGAAGTACAGTGGGTAAGGAAAGTATTCAGACCCCCTTAAAATTTTCACTCTTTGTTATATTGCAGCCATATGCTAAAATCATTTAAGTTCATTTTTTTCCTCATTAATGTACACACAGCACCCCATATTGACAGAAAAACTGAAATATCACATGGTCTTAAATATTCAGACCCTTTGCTCAGTATTTAGTAGAAGCACCCTTTTGAGCTAATACAGCCATGAGTCTTTTTGGGAATGATGCAACAAGTTTTTCACACCTGTATTTGGGGCACGTAGTTGTTGTGAAGCCACTCCTTCGTTATTTTAGCTGTGTGCTTAGGGTCATTGTCTTGTTGGAAGGTGAACCTTCGGCCCAGTCTGAGGTCCTGAGCACTCTGGAGAAGGTTTTCATCCAGGATATCCCTGTACTTGGCCGCATTCATCCTTTCCTTGATTGCAACCAGTCGTCCTGTCCCTGCAGCTCGAAAACACCCCCATAGCATGATGCTGCCACCACCCTGCTTCACTGTTGGGACTGTATTGGACAGGTGATGAGCAGTGCCTGGTTTTCTCCACACATACCGCTTAGAATTAAGGCCAAAAAGTTCTATCTTGGTCTCATCAGACCAGAGAATCTTATTTCTCACCATCTTGGAGTCCTTCAGGTGTTTTTTAGCAAACTCCATGTGGGCTTTCATGTGTCTTGCACTGAGGAGAGGCTTCCGTTGGGCCACTCTGCCATAAAGCCCCGGCTGGTGGAGGGCTGCAGTGATGGTTGACTTTGTACAACTTTCTCCCATCTCCCGACTGCATCTCTGGAGCTCAGCCACAGTCATCCTTGGGTTCTTCTGTACCTCTCTCACCAAGGCTCTTCTCCCCTGATAGCTCAGTTTGGCCGGACAGCCAGCTCCAGGAAGGGTTCTGGTCGTCCCAAACGTTTTCCATTTAAGGATTATGGAGGCCACTGTGCTCTTAGTAACCTTAAGTGCGGCAGATATTTTTTTTGTAACCTTGGCCAGATCTGTGCCTTGCCACAATTCTGTCTGAGTTCTTCAGGCAGTTCCTTTGACCTCATGATTCTCATTTGCTCTGACATGCACTGTGGCTTTCCTAATCACGTCCTATCAGTATAATCAAACACAGCTGGACTCAAATGAAGGTGTAGAACCATCTCAGGGATTATCAGAAGTAATGGACAGCACCTAAGTTAAATATATGAGTGTCACAGCAAAGGGTCTGAATACTTATGACCATGTGATATTTCAGTTTTTCTTTTTTTAATAAATCTGCAAAAATATCAATAATTCTGTGTTTTTCTGTCAATATGGGGTGCTGTGTGTACATTAATGAGGAAAAAAATGAACTTAAATGATTTTAGCATATGGCTGCAATATAACAAAGAGCGAAAAATTTAAGGGGGTCTGAATACTTTCCTTACCCACTGTATATCTCCAAAAATTTTGAACTGTTGCTTTAGAATCGCTACTTTGATCTGATTATCACCTCTCCCGCATGGTGGTGTGTGCCTCAGAACGTTATATAGAGACAGTGATGCCATCAGATACTAGCAAGATTATGGACCCGTCATTAAGTAAAATAGTTTATTTGTTCATTCTTTATATTCTTATTAACCTGCTATCCCTTTATATCCCAACTCTTGTCACCCATCATCCACCATTTCCTGTCTCATCCATTGCCTCCAGTTCCACCCGTAGCCCTAGTGAGGGGAAGCCAACCTTTCACAGGAGAAGGTATTAATAAATCACATTAATTAGATCATGTGTTTTTAAGATTGGCTTGTTGCTATTGTGACATGCATAACAAAATTTAAGTGGGTGTAGCCATTTTATGTGTGCTTGCTGAACTACTGCTGCATTGTGCTCCACCCCTGTAGGCTACTGTTGCTATCTTTTCATTTGTCAGAATGTCCAAGAAATACTGTGGCAAATAGATGGTTGAGACACATTGGTTTTTTGTATTGAACTTATAACAAGCAGCCGTGTAGACACACAGAAAGAGGGGAGTTTAGTTCTTCCGGCTCAGAGGACTGGATTGGCCAGATTTTGAGAACTTTTTTGTTTGTTTTGTTTTGTTTTTTGTGTAGTAAGTTCCTGTAGGGAATATTTCAAAGCCGTTCCTGTAAAGATATCCGAGGAGTTTTGAATTTAGTCCCAGAGCAGACAGTGTGCCACAGCAGTAAAAGCAGTATTGAGGCTGTTCTGGTGTTAGGCACAATTGTTCTTGATGTAGGAAGAATGGCTCTGTTGAGTGAAAAACTGCACTTTGACTTAGACAAAGTAGAAAGGATGGTGGAAGCAGTAATGAAGAAGGAGTTTGCATCATTCATGATTCACTGATCTTGATTGTAGAGAGGAGAGATGTTTCAGTTCTTTAGACTGATCCAGTTCCTCACCCTGGATCAGAGAGCAGGAGCTTCAAGTTACAATACATTGCTTGTTCCACTCTACTCTGTGCCAGTGGATTCTATTAGGTATGGAAGTGATTGCTTAAATATTTTCACCTGACTCTTCTGTAATATTTTGATGTCAAGCTGACATATACATAACTGACATTATACATAAATTCTTAGTACTGGTAATTCTTGACAGCTTTACAGCTAATGTGAGACAGTTAGTGGATTTCTAAGGCTGGTACATTGTTTATCAGGGAGGTAAAAAAAAAACAGTTTAAACAATTTATCAGTTTCAGTTTGATATAATTATTTTTTTTATTTTTAGTCATTAAATTTGGTTAAGGAAGAATTTAGATCAAGATACACTATGTTCTGAGCAGGCATTTAACAGCACCTGCTCTTGTAAACAGACTAAATGACCTAAAGCAGTGGTCCCCAACCCCCGGGCCGCGGACCGGTACCGGTCCGTGGATCAATTGGTACCGGGCCGCACAAGAAATCATTAATTATTTCCGTTTTATTTATTATCTGAGTCTGAACGATCTTTTATTTTGAAAAATGACCGCATTCTCTC